ATAGGATTTTTTTTTTTTTTTTTTTTTTTTTTGTAAAAGCAAACAAAAAAAAAAGAAGCTGAAAGGTAGTTACTCGAGTATTTCTGTATGGTGTTTCTAGCGATCACGAGTAACTTATATTTATACGAATTGCATGAACGACCGCTGGTTAACGTTGTCAGCGAGATAACTGATTCGTGAAAATTAGTCAAAACTTAGGTCTGGCTCAGGGATTCAAAAGCAGGATACCCTCGAAACATATTGATCGCCTTGAGCCGGGTGTAATTTTTATCCCGTAGCCTCGTGTAATATTACACATGAATGATTGTTCGAAGAAAGCTAAGATCGTTCTCTATTCGCTAAACGATCGAGATCGGGGGAGAGGATCGCGAATTGCAGATTAAACGGCGAAAAGATTCCTATTATTTTTTATTATTTCTACTGTTTTCTGTAACGTCTAATTAATACTATTACTTTTAGAACTTCGGCAAGAGAAGTTCGGCGACTGGAGAAACTCCAAAGAAATTTGCCGAGCCTACCCTCTTGTCGGTCGTTAGTTTGGTCTCGCGAGAAAGATCGGCCCTGCAGAAAGGAAAGTAGTCATGAATTTTAGAATTTTGCGTGTGACAGACGAAAGGTGTGAAAGATTCTTCCTAAGGGATTCTGAGCGCAAAATCGTTGTGGGCCGGAAAATCGTTTGTCTGAGCTGACATTCCCGTAGAGACGGTCTCGGAACGCCCGAATAGTTTAATTCCCATGTCTAATTTTTAAGTATCTGGTAGATAAGCTGGCGTTAGCAAACGTAACTAGAGCTGGTTCAACCAAATAATAACACGCGCTAATCTAAATATTAAAAATACTCGGTATGGTGAGTGTGTCGCGATTTTCACGATGCGGTGTCGATTGATACGATGAATCTTCGAATCTTCCCGCGCGCGTCGAAACGAATTGAGGAAAATGGAAAAACGAAAGGAAATTCGTCGAGGAGCACGTCGTTCTGCTCGCAGGAATACGCTGGAACGACGTATCCAGCCCGCGTTATTTATTGACTGTTAATTCCCTTGGTGCCTTGATTATTTATATACGTGTGTACATAAAATCGACTGACGACGAATCGATGTCGTTCCGCGATCGCGTTCGATCGCTTTCGATCGCAGACAGCAAACAATGAGTCGATAAATGAGAATGAAATGGAAACACGTTGGTTAGCTTCCTTTTCGTTTTGATTAACAATTGAATTAATAATTAATTCGTTTCATTGCAAGCGTCGAGAGATCGCTCGGTTTTGTTCTCATTTATCCGTTTTGCCTAAAAACGAGAGGAAATTTTTTTTTTCAGCAACGGTCTGTATTTTAGATTTCTAGCGAGTCCGTCGGGGGGATCTTTTGTAAAACGTCATCGTGTGAGCGAGAGTAGCGATTAATTTTTTTTAATGCAACAATCGTGTGCCGCGAGCGACTGTATATAAATAATGCGTGAATGAGGCAGCGAGCGATTGCAGGCAACCATTAATCGTGTAACTTACAGAAACCGCTATTAGTATATATTGCGTATATTATGTATACATTGGCCAGCACGACAGAATTCAACGCGAACATCGCCAATTTCGTTTTCTCTTGGTAAAAAGTTTTCGATCACAGTCACTCGTCCCTCATTTCTTGAATTTATTTTGTTTCTTGGTATCGAGTTAATAATAAAAATATTAATATAATAAAAAAAGATTGATTAAATTTCCTTTTATTTCTAATTGTAAAATGTACATCCTCAGGTAGAATATAATTCTTTCTATGAAAAATATCAATTTGATGCAAGGAATGAATGGGAAGTTAACAGTACTCAGAACCGTAGATATCTTTCATTCTTACGAATCATTGGTCATTTCCCCATGTTCTTATAACAACTATAATAACAGTTCATACGATAAAAATTTCAACGTTTTCAAATACTTTCGAATACTTGTTTTCGATCGAAAATTTCTTGCCAAGATTATACTTTGTTGATTCTCGTTTCGTTTCTAGTTGCATCCTCGTTTATACATGTACAGTTCGTGTTTTATTGGGGGGGCTCTACTTTGATCCGCACCGTAGTAATTTATATTTCCGAACAGTTGCTTCTCTTCGTTAAGGACATCCAAAGCGCGTACAAGAATAATCGTCGTGACCTAAACTATGATCATCATATGCATATTTAAGAAACTCTGTCTGTACATTTTCATGATTGGGGTGATTTCACGTTTTTCTTTCTTTGAGAGAAAAGTGAAAAATCAAAAAAAAAAAAAAAGAAGAAGAAGAAGAAGAAGAAGAACAGCTTTCCGAAAACAGAAAACGCGAATTTTTCTACTTATCAAAGACGTTGTTTACGATGCGTCGACCATCGAACGTTCCCTTTCTCTTTTTTACGCGATTATTTATTTATTAAATACTACTAAGCTGTCCATACACTTGTTCTCAATGAATTAATAAAAAAAAAGAAAACGATAGAAAAATATGCAAACGCGTTTCAGTAGAAAGTAAAAGATACGATGGATAGAAAAATAGAAATAAGTGAGAGAGAGAAAAGAAAGGGTAGGAAAATAAGAAGAATAAGAGCATCCTTCGTTTATTTCTACCTCACACTATCCTTAGAAAAAAAGAAAATGAGAGAGGTGTTTAACAGCATCCAAATTTATTTCTTGTACAATGCTATTCTTCTCTTATGAATATCTGTTTCATGTACATTTATTTGCATACAAAAAAATGGCAGTAGTAAAGTACAGTTAATTGTACTCCTCCTCTTAAAACGATCATAACAATTGCGTTTTAATTGAAAATCTGGGGAAAAACTGAACACGGAACAGATTCATTTCTGTGATAAGTGGATTCCCATTCGGATTGATTTGGTCCCACGATAACTTCCCTCCCTTTTTTTCTGACAGATCCAAGAAAAAGAGCGTCTGGTTTCCTTTATCCTTGCTCCTCCAGCGAAGATGTGGATATTCTCGATATTCCCCCCAGTCTTTCTAGTTTCACGCGAGACAGATTAAAGTCTTTCCCTCGTTCATCTTGTCCTGAATCTTGTCACTGGCTGTGGACTTCTCTGCTTGGTCACTTATCACTGCGCAAACGAACGTCAGTCCAACCCCTATTATGGCGCTGTAGAAAGCCCAACCTGAAAGGTAATATACCTCTTTCAACCACTTTACTGTATACGGTATAATAAATTGAAGTCGATTGCCTACGTAAAGATTAGAGTATCTCAAAGTTGTGTAAGCATCTAACTTTTATTACCTAGGGAGCATTCGGCGAGGTAGAAAGCGTCGGCTTCCGGTCCGCAGATCCTCTGAACCCTTTCAGCGCCCCAGCCCGCGGGATACAAGATCATCCCCAGCAAGTAAAATATTCCTGTCGACAGCGAACAAAAAAGAAACAAACTCGTCGAAACTTAAAAAAAAAAAATTTCAATTGCATTGCAAATATTACCAGCGATAACCTGTGCAACACCAGCCAAGTTGAAGATGCTCTTTCTGCCGATGCTTTGCATACAGCAGCCGACCAAAGCTGCCAGCACCGTCATCGACATGATCGCCAAGCCAAGAGACAGGAAGAAGTACGAGGCTTTCCAGCAGCCTGGAAATACGCTGGAATCCGTGGCGAAGCCGTCCAAGTTGAAATTCGCGCAGTGAGCCTTCTTACCGTGCAGCTTGATGCAACGATTGAAAATCCCGACCGTCGGCACGTAAAACTCTGACCCGTTCTCTGACGATTGGAAATTAAATAGAACGAGAATGTCGATTCGTTACTCGTTATATTTCCGTGCAGCAAGAAATTCTAGAAGATCGTCGAGGTAAAAAAACGCAAGCTATATGAATATTCTAGTCAAAAATGAATCGTGAAAATGTTCTTATCTAATTATCGATTATTTGAACGAACTCGAAATGTTTCACATTCAGTGAAAATTTCAAAGTTCCTTTCAATAACTTTGGTGAAATAGATTGCGGATG